AAATCGAGCAATCGTCCGTTCTGGTCAACAATGCGTATCGTTAGCTCCGTAATGCTCCATACGATGACTGGCAGGTAAATGATCTGCATCGGCCTTTCCGATATCTTATATCCTGGCGGCACGCTCGGTGAAAATTCGTGTATCGTGTGCACACTTTTGTCGTTGCTGTATGCGCCCGCGGTCACGTTGCACTCTACACAGATAATGTTTACGTTGATGTTTACGTCATTATGTTGATCGACACGTCCGATTCGTGCCATCTTCGCGGTTGCAGTATACGCCTCGAGAAACCCAGCAGCGATCCAATGTTATGAGACTTGTTAAAGTTTATTCTGTAGGCGCATTTAATCTCACACCTCATCGTGTTGTAATTTGCGCGGAGCACTATCGGGTATTCTCCAATCTCGTCATCGCCGCGCGCGGTCACCAGCGTTACCCTCGGGCGCGTCGCATCGCGGACGTTTCCGTAAAATCTCACGTTTCAAAAATTCATTTATGGCGTGCAGTTCATACGATCCCTCGGGAATCGTAATTTCTGCATCGTCTTTGCCAAAATAAAATGTATTATTCGAAGCGTTTACATTCGGTATCGTGTGATAAGTCTCCAAAATTGTTAGACCAAGCTCGTAGTCATCGTCGCTCAAATCTATGGCTGGAGAGTAATTTGTCGCGAGAACGCTGCTCTTCCCGCTCAGCGTAAGCGTCAGCGACATGATGAAAAAAGCGTTCGACGAATACTGAGACGTCGCGACATTTTGTCGGACTTTATAAATTTACGCGCGTCGGCCGTTTTGGAGAAGAAACCACAAGCACAGCTGTCCGCAGACGCTCTGATCGTATGTCTGATAGGACGTTCGATTGTACTCTATCGTAGCATCGTCTCCGAAATATCATATTAGTTTCTTGGACGGTCGAAGATTACCGAAACTGTCAAAGTACACAACGCAATTGTTTCTCTTTGCGTACGCTACCCAATGAATGCCGGGACTTATCGTGTCGTCCAGATTTACGATACCGCTCTCTTTTCGACGCGCGCCGCTAATCGGTAATGCGTCACGCATAAAAATTCCTCTAAAGTACGGTACGCGCATACGCTTCGCCAGCTGATCCAATTGTACGTTGGTGGTTACACCCGTAGGTATTTTTATCGTCTCTTTGGCGTTTTTTTTCTTTTTTCGCTGTTACTCCTCGTCCGCGTTTGTACGGAGCGAGATACAGTTCTCGTCCGTATTTGTACGGAGCGAGATACAGTCCTTGTCCGCGCGTTTCCATCGCACGACGTTGCAGTTCCTCGAGTTGACGTTGCGCGACTTTCCTGTCGTTTACCGCTTTCGCCACGCTGGCCGCTCCGCCGATTAAGGACCCGAGAGCGCCCAAAATTGGCAAAATCGGTAACACACCACCTCGTTTCGCCGTTGGAAGTGTTCGTTTCTTTTTTTGCCGGCTTTTTTCTTCGCCTTCATACCCATGCCGATCTTGGTCTTGGCTTTCATCGCTGCCCAAACGGCTGCAGCTGCAGCTTTCTCGCTCAGAGCCGAATCTCTCGCGATGACGCGTCCTAAGGCTTTATCGGCGAGTATCTTGTCCGCCGCGTGTCTGTCGGTGAGATCGTTGCTCTGAGAATACGCAATGTCGTGTTCACGGCACGCCGCGTCCAGTGGATTCATGCCCGTTTCACCTCTGGTCGCTTTTTCAGCCGAGTACCCGGACCGCAAAACTGATAGCCGGGGATATGTAGTTTGAAAGGAAGCGCGTTTATCGCTCGATTGAGCAGACCTCCAATGTAGCCTTCGTTTGACGCTGTTGCTGGCATAGGCCACAATCCTTTATCTTCGGTGCAGGACCGTCTATATGACCTCGATCCCACGATTGATTATAATGCTCGTCGCAGCGACGATAGGTTTGAACCTCCAAATCCGCCTTTATATACTCCGGAAGCTTGTCCCACACGTGATCGATATAATTACCGCACACGCGTAACAATACGACCTTCGGTATACATTGCAACTGCTCAGCGCTCAAATCCCGAATATCGGAGGGATGCGACAGCGCGAGATACATTTTTGCTACTGAGCGATTCGTGGTTTCGCGCGCCTATAAATAGGCGTACGATCGAAGCCTAGATAACGCAGTGCGAACATGAAATTTGTACGGCAGCCGCTGATGATACGCGTCGCGAACTGTGACGAGAGAGCGCGAATGATAGGAGACATTGCGACGGAGCGCAAGCACGGTGCAATGTTACCGAGTACTATACGCGCCATCATTTGCGGGCCGTCGAATTGTGGTAAAACCAACGTTCTCATAAGCTTGCTCGAGAGTTCGCACGGTGTACGTTTCGAGAATGTGTACGTATATTCGAAATCACTGCAACAACCGAAATATCGATACTTGGAAAATTTACTAACAGCGATAGAAGAAATCGGCTACTTTACGTTCTCCAACAATAGTGACGTCATTCCATCGAGCGAGGCACGTCCCAATTCGATCTAGTGTCTTCGACGACGTTGCGTGCGATAAGCAAGATGCTGTGAGAGAATATTTTTCGATGGGCCGCCACTGGAACGTCGATTGCTTCTATTTCTGTCAGACGTACGCGAGGATACCTAAACATCTGACGCGATAATGCGAACCTGCTGATTCTGTTCAAACAGGATGGTACCAACTTGAAACATGTTTACAACGATCACGTAAATACCGACATATTATACGATGAATTCTGTGCGTTATGCCGCGATTGTTGGCAGCGTGAGTATGGATTTCTAGTGATAGATAAGGACAGTCCGCTTATCAATGGGCGATACAGAAAGGAATTTAATACGTTCGCGGTACCGTAACGTGGTTAATCGATGTCGATACGTGGAGCAGGCAACATGGATAACACCAAAGATCGCGAGAAAATAGCGAAACAGATTGCGAAAACGAGCGATTCGATTCGCAAAAAATATCGCGCTTTAAAAATTGGTAAAATAGCTGAAGATACAGCGTTGGAGAAACGCTTCAAGCCCATCGTCGAACCTCTAAAACAGATTGTTGAAAAAACCGAGGAATCTCAATCGATTGAAAGAGAAGCAAAGGATCTCGGTATTAAGAAAAAACAAAAACGTGAAGACAGCGATGACGACAACGATAACGATATTACTACTACTGACAAGGATTCATATTAGACGGATGTTGGATGATTGAAATTAACGCCACAATCTAAAAAACAACGTACAACGAAAGAATTGAAAGCCGCGTCAGATTCACTCGTGTTCGAGTCTACACCGATACAACCATCGAAAGACCCACCAAAAGAACCACCGCTGTTCCTGCAAAAGGAAGATGTTTTCGAAACAAAAGACGCCAGTGAACCGTCATTCGAAACAACCATCAAACAGAGTCTGCAAACGCAACAAGGTCGAGAGGCGTTGCATAATCAGCTGGGACCATTAGGGCAAAAGTACGTAAGCCCTCTCCTCAATGATAATGGAAAAAACGATACATTTGATCGCGTATACGGTGTTTATTTCGATAAAAACAGTGGTGCGATGCTTGGTGACAAGAAATTTGACAAAAATGACTCCATAATCATAGACAATGTGAGATACAATGGTACACCAGGATTGTACGAATTGATCTTCAAGAGACTTCCCGATGACGCGGTTTTTACCGAGGATGACAAACAAACGTATAAAAGTATATTGTTAACAACAAATGCTCATAGACGTGGTCACAGCGCCCATAATCACATCAAAGGCAATAGGGGATCCAAGTATATTAACATCATCGCTCCGCTCGTATATATGTATGGAAGTAGCGGGCGTAAAAAGGGCGCAGGCGTGAGCAATATACCAACCGCCATGAAGTTAAACGACAACAAGATCGATTACGTACATTGGGACGATCCCAACGAACTGGTGGATCGACTCCGATTTCTCAACGCTTCGCACCGAGCTGATAACAACGCTCACGACAACGAGATGCTGTCGATCATCGAGGAACTTCGCGAAGCCGGCATTATTATAAATTAATCGCGTATCGACGAAACGAGCCAGTCGATTAACGTCAGTGAGGAAGAAAACAATTTTAAATTGTATATCTTATTTACTATTAAACATCGTTGAAACATGCGATCCGATGGACGTGAAAAAAATGTTAGCTCCGGGAGGCGACGACTCGTTGAGGAATTGCACGCTCCGGCGAGGAGAAATTTTCCACGAAGACGTGTCATAATTCGGGGATATGACGATCTGTGGCAGGTTGATATCATCGAGATGCGTCCGTACTCGAGTTTCAACAGAGGTCATCACTACATACTCATCGTCATCGATGCGTTGAGCAAGTACGCCTGGGCCGTATCGCTCAAGAGCAAGGTCGGAAGCGAGACGGGTAACGCTATCGCTAAGATAATTCGAGAGAGCGGAAGATGCCCGAGAAACTTGCAAACGGATATGGGAAAGGAATTTTACAATGCCGATGTGCAAAAACTCTTGAAAAAACACAACGTTAATCATTATTCCACGTATACGATGTTGAAGGCATCGATCGTCGAGCGATTCAATCGCACGCTTAAGAACGACATGTGGAAGATGTTTACGCTCAACGGCACTCACAAGTGGGTCGACGCGCTACCGCGTCTCGTGTCAGATTACAATGCGCGCAAGCATCGCACTATCGGCATGCGACCCGTTGACGTAACTCCCGCGATCGCCAAAAGACTCTTGGATACGGTATACAGCGCGATAAAGATCGCAGGTCCAGCAAAATTCAAAGTAGGCGAATCGGTATGCGTGAGCAAGTATAAGATAATTTTCGAAAAAGTTTACACGCCAAATTGGACAACCGAGGTATTTAAGATCGTTAAAGTGCAGCGTACTAATCCCGTAACTTATCTGCTCGAGGACTATCGCGGAAAATCGGTCGCGGGCGCGTTCTACGAACACGAATTGCATCGCGCGACTCATCCGGACGTGTATCTCGTGGAGAAAGTACTACGCAGGAAGGGAGACAGGTTTACGTCAAGTGGCTGGAATTCGATAGATCGCATAACTCATGGATAAACAAAAGCAGTGTGATTTAATTCATTTTTCTTATTTTTATAATGTATTAAAAAAATAAATATACACTGTATACAAGTATACAAAGAGTTTTTATTATTTTTTTCTGCCATTACATTTTTTAAACTATACATGTATGTAACTTACGAAAACACATGTAAAACTGCATGTATTATAAACAATATATGTATTAAGCCGAGTATACATTAAATAAATCGAAGACAGAATTAAAGCTAATTCCTCAGCAAGCAGGATCTTGGTTGCTATTATAAATTATATATAAAATAAATTTGAACAACTAAATTTTATTGTAAAAACTACATATAAAAACTACAAAAAATACATACATCTATACTATATATAAAACAGTATCGTATAAAACAGTATCGTATAAAATTACAAGAATACATACGTTCATACATACATACATATGATACATAGGTATGTACATACATACGTGCATATATGCATACATATAAACTATATAAAAAATATAAAAATATATGTACATTGTATAAACATGTATATATATTATATTATATATATATTACAATGTATATATTACAATGGAATCTGCCAATGTCCCCACGGTAACGTCTCTGTCGAATCCGGTACGATGTATCGTTGTATTGTCGATGTATTGTCGTCGTACGGACTCAGAGCGATTTTCGACTCGGACACCGTATATACTTGGTGTAGCTTGGATCTTATACACGACTGGCGACGAGTCATTTCGATCTCTTCATTCAAACACCGCGTATAATCGTCGAACGTTATTGTTCGCGTTACGACGTTAGTTTTTACACCTTTCGCCTTTTTAATATCTTTTCTGCCGTCCACCCTCACTGCGTACATCTTCGCTCTGAGTCCGATGAATTCCGTCATTATCGCACCGTTATTCTCATCCTTCATTAGATCGGATACTTTTTTATTCGCGAGAGGCATCCCGTACGCGTTGTCCGATGGATAATCGCTCGTATCAAATCTAGCGATATCATGTTTCATCGTCTCGTACACATCATCGCACTCGATGTGGTATACGAGACTGTCCGTGTCGGTGTACATGATCTTATATTTCTCGCGATACAGCGGTGACATGTATTCGTGGTGAAATTCGTACAAGCAGATTTTCGATATGTCGAGTATACACATACCCACGTAAATCGGCTTGTTGAATTTTACCTCGAGTTTACGCAATTCGACGCCGATTAAGTTTTCCGCAAAGACGCTGCGGCTGTGGAAATTTGGTTTCGCGATCATTGCCTCCGCGCCATACCGTCCGTCCTATTTGATCAAAAGTTTAACGTCAACGTGATTGCGCACATTTTCCATTGTTTTACCGAATACCGCATTGTTCATTAATTTGTACAAATTTTTTTCGAAATCGTTTTTCGCGTACGTTCTAAAGTGTGTATGAGTTCGATGTAATCGCGGAGCCAGGCGGATTGAGCAAATTGTAGTACGCGATATATCTTTGCGATACGAAGACTATGGCGCGTACATTGCTGCAGGTTGTGATAATGGATGACATACCGCTTCTTATCGTATAACGCGAGAAGTTTATCCTGCCGGGTGGTGCGTGCCGGGTGGTTTATCGCGCGTCGGACAGAAAGGTTAGTGTGTCGATCGTGCAAATGATGCGGATACTTGAGATCGACCTCGAGAATATAACCCGTAGACGAATCCGGAGCGATCGCGCTCGCGTCAAAGTTCTCAATGTCTTTCATCCATCGAAATTCGGCATAGGGCAGCGGTTGACACATCGCCCATCCGTTCAGATTATTTACGTCAAAGTACATAAGGTATGATGACGGTTTCGACGGGTCGTACGAACGCATGTACTTGTTATTGGCCTGCGCGTATCTGCCGGAACATTGACTGAGACCGCCGCGTATACCGCGTTCGATAAACATAACCATATCGATGTCGGTGAGCAACTCAAATTTTACGCGCGTATGTTTCAACATGGCGTCCCACGTGAAACCTGGCAATGTGTAGGAATGCGCGTGATCGAGTCCATAACTCGCGACGCAACTTTCGCGGAAATTTTCGAAAACGTCGGCCAATAACAAGACATCGGTCTTGAGATATAGATCGCTGTATTCGCCGAGCGTTCGGATGGAGAATCGCTATCAGACGTTCGCGGCGTGCGCGTAATCGTTCTCCGACATCGTGTCACCGGTCAACGAGCTATAGAACGATTCGCGCGGTGGTAGGTGCGTATCTTGCAGCTTGTCCGCGCGATCCACGTATTCGTACGGAAAGATACCTTTGCGCGTCAACAAATCAAAATTTTCGTTTGAGATCGTGGAAAATTCGGAACGTAAAATTTTAAATTTTTCTTTCGTTAGAAAAGATGCCAATTTATCAAGGCTGGTATTTAAAAACTTGTACGAATCTATGAACCGCAAGCGTACGCAATTTCGTAAATCTGATCTCTCGGTGGTATCTTTAACGTGTTTTGTAAACGAAATATATTTTTCTTTTGTTATCGGCAGCACGTCGATCCTGCCTTCGAACGCCGTAGCTATTTCCGTGATGATAAAGTGCGCGTCATAACCGGATAAGTTGTGAAATACTATAGGAATGCAATATGAATCTTTATAATTTAGATTACAATTTGAGTGTGCGGGACCACGGTAACGACCGGTAAGATGGCAATGATCGCGTACCCGCGTGTCGTCCGACGCAAATGATTTCTCGCAAATGTGACAACGCGTCGCGCTACGATATGCCTCCCACTGCTCTCTCGACAACGTTTCCATGGGGACATTCGCGAATAACAGAATTTTTACTTGATGCGCCAAATTTTCGAGTTGCCGAATGAACCACGTAACGCAGTTTTCGTCGCGACGAAATGGATATACCGATAACGCGTCGTCGTACGAGCATCGCACGTAGTATCCGATGCTAAATACATCGTGCTGCTGGTAGGTGTACGATGCGTCTTCCCTCTCTGCCGGTTCAGTTCGCCGTAGTACGCACTCCAAGTCCGCGTAAACGATGAATGGAAGTCGTTCATTCCTTTCGTGTGGTTCTTGAATTCGAGCCATTTGTCGTCCTCGCTCGGCAGTCGGATGGCGCAATCGTTCATCTTTTCGCAGTCCGTTGTATGTCACTGCAATCTTTCAGACGAACTGAAGTAATGTAGACATCTGCAAACGGAAAATATGATTTTTTAATAAACAATTTTATAAGAGAATTTTATAAGAGAAATAATAAAATTTGTTAAAATACATACCGGTCGCAAAAGTATTTCTTATGTCCGTATTTATTCAGTTGCGAGCTCACAAGGCGGGACAGATCTTTGATGTACGCAAAGTGCCCCGCGTTGTCGTCGCGTGGATCCTGCACGTACAATAGATTTGCGTGCTTCTCCATCTTCCTTGATGTCAGCTGTATCGGGAGAATCTCCTTTTCCTTGATACCGTAGACGTTGATTGAGATGTCGTTGAGATGTTCGAACTTCTTAATTTGGTTCAACGTCATCGGAAACGTAATGTCTTGCAAATTTAACACCGTATAATGCGGGTACGACAATTCCCGATTTGTATTCCTTTCAGCCGGATGCAGAGCCGCGACCAGCGACCACGCGAAACACGCATTGTCCTTGGATCGTACATTGATCACCGCTCGCTTTAACATAATTTCCCGCGGTAATTCGATGTAACATCCCGCGTGCATTGGATTATATTTATTCACGTTTACAGTCAAATTTAGAATTCGCGACAACGCCCATCCACTATCGCGTTCTTGGAATTCTTCGAGCGACGCCAACGTGGGTTCGACGTATTGCTCGTACCACTCGTCCAAATTTGACACTCGAAAGAGTTCATTATTTTTAGTGTTTATACTTTTGTTCGCGCGTTTATCGCCCGTCACAAACTCGCCGTTAAATGCAGTGTTCACTTTCACACTATCGTGTCTTTGTACAATATCTCGCATTCGCTCAAGCACTACACTACCAGCGTCTTCTAAAAATTATCGCGGCTTGATATAGTCCACATTGATCACCGCACCTGTTGATATACGGCTTTCAAATGCCGTCGTCGATTTCTCGCCAAACGAGAGATCCAGTGTCTCTACTCGCGTACTCACCACCAACGTGCACGAAACGTCTTTCTAGTTGTACTTTTGCACTCGCGAGTCGCGCGATCCTCGCCACTGCAAATTGTCTACTTGCAACGGTGAGGACGCTTAACACGGCTAAGTTCCTCGAGTTGTTCGATGCACTCCTCACATTGTTGCAACCACGCGAAACACTCCACCAAGGTAACGACTTGGCTGCACTGCTTCAGCAGCTTGCGTTCCACTCGCTCTAGGTGTTCCATATTGCAAAATCTTGATTCTTTTAAATTGTTATGCTGTCTCATCAAAACAATTTTACATTTTTTTACTTTCTTTTTTTCTTTTCTCTATAGCTGCTTTAACTCGAAGCCAGTATATAAAGCGTTGTATTTCCGACATGTTCGGTGATTGATGGGAACAGAACAATCATATATGATTATCCTCGCTTCTTGGAATTATCTCTGCTACTTTTTGCCGCCAGAGAGGTAATAATATATTGTATGCCTGTCCTCTATAATGATAATATGTGCACGCTTCCAGAATTATTTCCGCTCTCTTAGAAGGAGCGGAGAAGCAGAGAGTCGAATTGTAGCGTCCCTTAACTCTTGGACGAGGAATCGGAAAATGGGGAGTTGAGGTATAGTGTCTCTTTATAAAATACACCGCCACGTTTGCTGGTAGATGAGAGAGATTGAGAACTTGTTAATTCCCATAACGGAGAACTTGTTAATTCTTCCAATGACCTTTCCATATTCTTTTATATCACATCACACTCTTCTACTTGCATATGCCTCATTCACAATGTTGTCTTTTTTCAATTTGTGCAAATTGGGCACATGTTGCATGGCATTATCATACAGACGGACTGTTGACAATTGGAGGATTAAAAATATTAAGGGAGGGTGTGCGTCACAGCGGGGCCCGACCACGAACCAGTCGTGAAAACTCGTAATTATTTTGCGAAAAAATACCACCTCAGCCAGGAATCGAACCTGGATCTCCTGCTTACCGGGCAGGCATCTTATCTTTTCGACTACCGAG